ACATTTTAGCAGCAGGGTGGTCAGACAATAACAAGGTGACCAGATTTTAACATTGGTAAAGCGGGACACCATTGATAAAACTCCTATCCTGGCAAAATAGCCACATGGCAGCCGAAAACCATATACCCTAGCTTGTCATGCATTCTTTCCAAAAATTGGGACTTTTAAAAAACGCCGCTGGACGCAGGAAAAATTGTTAAAAATCAGGACTGTTCTGCCAAAAGCGGGATGTCTGGGCACCTTAGACAATAAGGAAATGCATAACATTATATTTAGGTGTCAAAGAACAAAAATTCAAATCCTAGAAAGGAAAGCAAAGGAAGGAGTTGTCGGGAGAGAGACTGCTGCTGGAGACAAGTAGTCAGGACAGCTCTCAGGAAAGGCAACCACGAGACCAGCGGAAGTGGGGGAGCGAGGCCCGCGCATGTCTTGGGGAAGAGCATTCAGGGCAGGAGGAGTCGGCTTGGTATTTTGAGGAACAGCAAGGAAGTCAATATTTTGCGAAGAACTTAGTATGTTGAGCGTGAACAAGGTAGACGGGCTGAGGGAGCAAGAGAAGGTGCTGATAGGAAGTGAAATGAGAAAGCTAGCAAAGGAGTAGCCAGTCACGTAGAACTGAACAAACGTTTTAGGTTTTCTTTACAGTAAGGTGAGCAACAATGGACTGGGTTTGAGCCGAGGTGACTGGGTGGCTTATGATCGTAAAGGTCCCTCTGAATTCAGTGTGGAAACAGGCCCACCAAGGGAGACAGCAGGGGGGTCAGCTAAGAAGTGTTCTTGGGACCTTCCAGGTGTGTTGGGCCTGGGGCGAGCAGTGGAGGCCTTAGGCCACTTTTAGAATTTGCCGCTGGATGAGATCTCGGGTTCCAGAGGCGTGTGTGAGGATATATATTTAGACTGCGGATGCAGGAAGGTACCAGATCTCTTATCTCAGCATTAGATGCTTTAAAGAAATGTCAGCCCTGCGAGAGAGAACGTCATTCACAACTGAGAAAGCGCTTCAAACTCTTCAACAGGAAGACCAGCGGTCTCACTAACGCTCTGGCGCACAGGCTATCAGTAACAGACTTCCTCCTGCTCGGCCTTCTTCTCTGCCCGCAGCCCTGCAAACCTGGGATCCTGGGAGCGAGGTTGTTTGCAAGGCATCCTTCCGAGTCATGACGGCATCAGGAGAAGTGGGGCCCGCCAGCCCCGTGCGATTGCTGTGGGCATCAAAGGCTCACCAACCGAAGCCGGGTATTACTGGGGCAGTCATTTGAAAGCTTTTTAAAAAAGCTGCTGTAAGAACCTTTCTAAAATCCCAGGAGCACCTCTCAGGGCTTCTTAGAGCCTTGAAATGCAAAGCTTGAAAACCATGGACCCCCTGACAGGGTTCCTAAAGGCAGCAGTTCCAAGTGTCCCCCAGAGGTGTTACGTACCAACTGACTGCCGTCGAACCCACAGACTCATGACTGTGGACCCCAAGACTGTAGTTCTGTGGCCCTCGATCAACTTGGATCTGAATAAGCTTTAGTTTCTGCAGTAGTCATCTCTCAGGGTTAATGCTAAGGACCAGATAAGACAGCATATGAAAACCTAGCGAAACGGTAAACTACTCTATGAAGCTGGGTCTGAATAACTATCTTTGCACGGTCACATGGGATTGATACATTTAAACTTAGAGCACTTCAAG